CAGGCTCAGGCCCTGACGCAGTGTTTGACGCGAGTCACCCCAAAGCAGAGACGCATCGTTGCTTCGCCATCTGTGCTGCTCAACGCCCCAGCACCTGCAACAGCCACGCTTCCCGACCCGAGCGCTCTCGGCCAGCAGGAAGCCCTCGAGTGCTGCCTCAGCTTACGCTTCCCAACAGAGCCCCTTTGGGGCAAACCCCGCAGCCCGTCGAGGGCGTTCGCTCCTGGCTTCAGCGGGTACCAGGATGCTACGTCCTTCACGCGCAAGGAGAAGCGTCTCTTGCCAACCCCCTTTTCCGACACCACCCCCGCTGCCACCTCGGCTTTTAAAAATTCACCGAGCTGATGACATTTACGCTTTTCTAGGTCCCCTGTCATCGCGCCAAGCAGCCTCAAGCACCAGCCGGCCGCTGCCATGGCCTTTCCTCTGCCCAACTCACCTCCCCAGCTCCACCTTTAACACCGTCAGGGTCAGTGCTGCACTGGCACCACCATACGAAAAGGCTAATAAGGAAAATTCCATGAAGAACCAAACACCCTGACGGTCAGCATCCTTACCAGAGGAATTCCAGACTACAGGGAATTTTAACGTCTGTAAACACCTGCTGGCAAACGACCACTTTCTAAACCAACTGTAACAGTGGTGAAATCATCACAGAAACTCAGCACGGACACAGCTGGACCACCCAGCCCCCCCAGCCACGGGCAGGGACACCTTCCACCAGACCAGGTTGCTCCAAGCCTCATCCAGCCTGGCCTTGGACACTTCCAGGGATGGGGCATCCACAGCTTCTCTGGGCAACCTGTCCCAGTGTCTCCCCACCCTCAGCGGGAAGAATTCCTTCCTGATGTCCCATCTCCATCTCCCTCTTTCCGTTTAACCCCGTCACCCCCTGCCCTTGGGAACAGTCCCCCCCAGCGTTCCTGCGCGCCCCTGCCGACTGCCTTCCACACCATAAAAACAAGCCCCCTTGGCACAGAAGCGCAGCTCCCGGCAGCCCCTCCCCGGTATCACTTCCCAGATGTAAGGTCTTACCAGTCTTTTCCAAGACTGAGCGCCTGGAGACGTCACTTCCGTACACGCCGGCTGCAAGCTCCGAGTGCTGCCCTGCTCCTGTCCCTCATCCTCTCGGCGGAGGTTCAGCTCTCACGGGACATCTCACATCGGATACTTTACTGAAAACCTTTTATTGTAATCAAAAAGTGACATAACAGGGCTGTAATGTATTCTGCAAACCACCCTGCTGGTGCCCCACAACCCACACCAGCCGCTTTGCCAGCCAATTTAAAAAAAAAAAAAAAAAAATTCAAACGTGAAAAGTTTCACAGTACAGTAAACTCCACCCCAACTCATCACCGGTGGTGAAAAAGAAGATGCCCCCGCAAAACCTTTCATGTTACATGGTCACAACTCACAATTCTGTACAAAATGTTCACTTTTATAAAGCTCTGATGTAAAAATCAAAGAATCAAGCAGCAATATTTTAAGTGCAGCACAGGGTCTTTCATGTCATTATTTACAACGCTTGAATTCGTTTACATTTTAACAAAATTTAATACAGATGACTTAGGAATTAAGTCATTTTTTTCTATTATCTGTCCCTCTATGTGGTGACAGATTTCACTTTTTGGTCATCTTTCTCTTTATCTTTGCTCTTCTTCGACTTCTTCTTCTTGTGTTTGTGTTTTTGGCTCTTTTCCAATTCCGTTTCATTTCCAATGTGTTTCTTATGCTTCTTGTGTTTCTTATGCTTCTTGTGCTTTTTCTTCTCCTTCTTCTTTTTCTTCTTCTTGCTGTCTTGACTCTCCCCTGAGCTGGCACTGCTGCTGTGGCTCCGCGTCTGACTCTCGGAAGGGCTCTGGCTGCGGCTGCGGCTGACGCTGGGGCTGCTCTGGCTCTGGCTCCGGTTCGCTTCGGGCTGCTGAGCCGCAGGAGGTGCTGCCGGGTCCTCTTTCACCTTATCAACAGCCTTTTCTTTCGGTTCTTTCAGGTTCTTCCCCGCAGCTTCCTCCTCTTTTGCAGACACGTTACTCTCGCTGTCGCTTTCGTTGTAGTCTGGAACGAAGGCAGCCTCGTCGGTCTCCCGCGCCGGGTCGGAAGAGAGCCGTGAGGAGCTGCTTCCCTGAGCCTTAGGCTTGACAGCGCTTTTATCGTTCTGTCCAGCCACGGGCTCCTTCTCAACCTTCACCTCCGGGGATTCCTGTCTCAAAGGTGGTTTGTTAACAACCGTCTCTTTCTCCTTAGTGCTCTTTACTTCGGGTACGTGCTTCTCCTTCTCTTTCTCTTTTCCCGTGTTTTTATCGGGAGGCTTGTGTTCCTCCGCCATACGCTTGGCATCGTGAGCGGCTTTGTGCTCGGACTGCTTCCGCTCCCGCGGGGGGCTGTAGCTGCTCCTTTTGGCATCCCCGGCACCTTTCTTGGACGGCTCCGCTCGTTCATCCCTCGGCTTACTCTTCTGTGCTGACGTAGGCTCTCTGTTTCGAGAAGGGGAGTCTTTTCTCCTCGCTAACTCGCTCTTTTCCTCTCTGCGCTTGGAACCAGAATGATCTCTGTTGCTGTCGTGGTCCGACTTCTTCTCTCGGTTAGGGGTGAAGTCTTTAGCCGTGGATCCACGGCCGGTATCGTGTTTCTCTGAAGATCTGCTGTCTTTGGAAGACTGAGAAGTATTTTTTCCATTTCCTTGTTCAGCTGCACGTTCCGAGTGGTCTTTTTCTGGCTGAGCACTGCTCTTTCTCTTCTCAGAAGCGTCCTTGTCTGACAAAGAATGATCCCGCTCTTTGGTTTTTCCTTTTTCATTCGACGCAGAACTTTTTGAACTCTTTGCATCATGCTGGGCGCTCTCATAACTCACCTCTTTCGCAGCCTTCTGTGTTTTCTCCAAAGGCTCAGTCTCTTTTTCCGTGTGTTTTCCGGGGTTTGGGGGCTTAGCACTCACATTTTTTATAACACTGGCAGGTTTTGCTATGCTTGTGGGCACCTGGGTAGATTTCACATCCTCCTCTTCAGACTCGAAGTCATCTTTATCCCACTTTGACTGAGGGACCTGGATCATAATGATGACGTCTTCAGCAGGGGCAGTTATATCGTTATTATACTCCTCCATGGTCTTAATGACAGTTCGTTTGGTATCCGGCTTTTCTTCCGGCTTTCTAACGGGGCTCCCTCCAGTCGAGCTGGTGCTGAGAGGAGAGAAATGTATGTTAATCACGGCTGAGACACCGCATTGCCACCTTCCTAAGACAGCTTTTGTTTCAGTTCTAAACCCCCAGTATCTCCTCAAACGATGCTCAATTACAGGAGCAGACAAGAGAGAGGATGAACCCACAAGCTCAGATCATGAGCCATCAACTAATTTAGTATACATTTAATTAACAAAGATGCAGGTTTATCAGACTGGGGACTGTCTGATCTGCTAATTCCTTCCTGTCCTATTTCTGCCAAAGAAAAAGCTAAATTACACACACATTGTTGTTTCGACGTGTAAGCAAGCAATTCTGGAGAGGTACAGACAACCCGAGTTTTACCCTCATATCCCAGCTTTCTTGAGAAAAATGTACTTTTAAAAGCTCACCAGAATGCCAAGACACTATCTTAAAGCCTCCAGTGAGGTCTCATATGCTGTGAGTTTGCTCTGTCCTGCTTCTTTCGACACTGAAACGTAGGTAATTACAGCTCCTCACCAGATGACATTTCTCCCCCTCATGTCACAACGGAATACAGAAGACCGATCTTCTGAGTGCCAGAAGTTGGCACGGAGGTGGAAGCAGCGTAGCTGGGCCGACAGGCACTGCGCTCAAAGCCAGGATCACCACTCTACAGTGGTAACCCAGCTGCTGTTCCTGCGAGGGGGAACCTCCTGCATGTGGAACATGATGGTACCCTGCAATTCCTAAAACGCAAAGCGTTGCACGGCACAGACACGCGTTACCCTCGCCTTTAGCGGCAAGCTGGAGGTGAAGGAAGACAGAGGGCACACCTCAGAGTCAACATGTCAGTAAGAAGAGGGGGGAAACAATAATCCCTGAGGAGAGGCTCAAACACCTCAGCCATGAATTACCCTCGTCAGCGTTCTGTGCAGCGCGGCTGCCTGGTTTCTCTAACTACGCTCGTAGAGCGTGACCCCAGTGCAGCGTGACAGGGAAGGTCACCGATCACTCCCTCAGTCAGCATGGATTTTGTGGTTCCTTTCACCAGTCACCATAGAACAGTTTCACATGGGACTGGGAGGACAGAAAGAAAAGGAGGCGAAATGCCAAGGTACCTGGTGTAATCCACAAGAGTCCCACTCGATCCGTCGGCCGCTGGTGCCTTCCTCCTCGCTTTGCCCTTCGCCTTCTCTGGTTTAGCTTTGCTGCTGCTGGGCTCAGGTTTCTCCCCAGGCTCTTTCGCAGGCGGCGCGTTTTCGCTGCTCACAATCTTTTTGCCGGTTTCGCGGTTAAGTTTAATCTTCTTTGCGGGGTTGTTAGCAGATTTATCCTTTTCCGGCGTTCGCTCTCCCTTGTCACCGTCAGGCTCAGTCTTCCCCTTCGGGGATGTTTTCGAGTCAGCAGTTTCTGGTTTAGAGGCCTTTGTGGAAGTGGCTTCGTGGTCTTTATCGCCCTTTTCATCTACTTTTCTTTTCCTTTTCTCAGGTTTGGCATCAGAAGGTTTGCTCTTCTCAGCAGGTTTCTTCGCCTTGTCCTCTTTGTTGGCGGGCTTCTCCGACTTGGGTTCTTTCGGATGGTCTTTCTTTGCCTTCTCCTCTTTGGCTGGCCTGGCTTCTGGGTGATCTTTTGTCACTTTGGGGTGAGCTTTCCGTGGGGTACCAGCAGCCTTCTCGTCCTTCTGAGAGGAAGATGGTTTAACACTGTCAGTCTTTGGCAACTCCTCCTTCGCTTTTTTCACAGGAGGCTCTGCTCGAGGCGATTTCTCACGATCGGTGTCCGCCTTCTCCTGGGGCGTTTTAGCAGGCTTTGTTACACTCTCCTTCTTCGGAGGGACGGCCACTTCGACTTTCCGCTTTGTCTTCTCAGTTTTTGCTTTTGGCTTGTCCTTCTCCTTTTTCTCCTTTTCAGACACCGGTTTGAAGGCAATGGAATCCGCTTCCATGGGCTCATCTCTCACAGGGGTGGCATCATCTCTGCTCGGGAGGATGAACATAGCGTCGGTTTTAACGTCTTCTGCTGCAGCAGGCTCTCTGGGTTTTCTCGCCCCCTCTAACAACTCGGTGCTCGGAAATCCTTCATTCTCATCCCCTTTTCTTCTCTTCCGGTGTTTTTTATGTTTATTTCCTTTGCCATCTCCCAGTGGATTTTCTACCTCCTTCTCTTTTGATTTGGTAGGATCCTTGATGCCATGGCTCTCTCTTCCGGAAGGTTTTTCAGGGTAATTTCCAGCTATATTACGATTCCTGTGGCTCTGCCCAGCAGGATAATCCTCCCTACGCCCCCGAGCATATGGTGAATTCTCTCGTCTGGTCCCAGGTGGACCAAACCTCTCTGGAGAAAAGTTCTCTCTGTTTACGGGAGGTCGAGGCTGTGCACCAACAGCATAGCCCTTGTAAAACTTTTCGTACCATTCTCTATAGTTCCTTTCCCATTCTCTGTATCTTTCCTTCTCAAAGGGATCTCTAAAGTCAACTGATCTGCCATAGTAAGCTTTCATGTCGTAGGGTGGGACTTCTCTGTATCGGTTAAAGTATTCCCTCTCTCCTTCCGCTTGAGGAACAGTCCGTTTCGTGGGGGACTGGCCTCGAAATGCTGGAGACCGCGAGCGTGAGTGGTACCTTCTGTACGGGGGAGACCTTGACCTCGAGCGGTGATAACCATGCGACCGCGACCTAGAACGATAGTTACGACTCTTCCCTTTCCCTCTTCTCTGATACGGCGGCGATCGCGAGTAGGAACGCGAATGGGAACGACTGAATGATCGAGAGTAGGAGCGAGAGCGGGAAGAACCTGATCTTGACTTGGAGTAGGTATAGGAACTTCTAGAGTACGATGAAGCACTATAGGGAGACTTGGACCTTAAAAAAAACACAACAGAAAAAAAATAAATGAAGTTAATTCAAAACAGTCACTCTCCCCAGTTTATTTCCTCTCAAATTTGGTTTATTTTATTTTGGTTTCCTCTCCATATGCTTATGTCAAAGCTTCTTTCAGCTGCTGACATAACACTACTGCAAATCGAAGAACTTGGTAACATGTAAAAGTTTCTGCTTACAAGACAAACAGCTGCGGCTTCGTTAGTGTAAAACACAGAGGAAGGGAACATCTATTTCCACTCACTCCTACATACAACTGCCACAGGCCGATTTCGGCTGGTGTATGCTGGCCTCTACTGGCACCTGAACCCGCACACGCTTCACTACTCCGCAACTACATGCGGTGCCAATCGTTCCTGTTGCAGTGCGACGCAAAACGAGCGAGTCTTAATGGCTACTGTGCAGTACCCAACAGCAGGAAAACACGGTTTAGCCTGAAGACAGTAAAGCTCAACTTTAAAACGCCAGCTTAAGTCTATTTAACTTCACTACTGACTTCGTACAGGATGCAAACAGTGGTACTGCAATCCCATGTACAGGGCTGTTTAATCGACACTCCGAGCCTGGTGTTCTAGCCAAGTTTTGCACATATCTCTAGCTCTAACCAAGGACAGTCACTGCTTTTCAAGAAAACTCATACTCAGAAGCTTCTAATCTCTGTCTCTAGCAGCATGACTCAATTACTCAAGGAAAGACAGACAGCATTACTAGTAGTGAGGTGTTCAGACTCCTGCTTGAGGGATTTTTTGGGGCTAGAAAGAATCAGCTTCCCTGAGTTTTTTTTCTTCACAAGTTTTTCCTTTATCATTTTTTAAAGAACAATTTCACAGTATTCCACATATGCTCATTAGTATCATTCCTCCTCTCAACACCCTTCACCAATTAAAGTCTTCCTTAAAACCATGTCTGATCCTTAATTCCTAAGGCAAATTTAACAATGTCAACAGAATACTAACAAAACCCACCAGTCTGCTGTCCAGGTTAAAATCTCTCCATGTATCCACATGGGATAAACAAAAAAGGAAGCGAAGACAATGTCTCTCTCGTATCTCCTCCGGAGTGCTTTGGGCCGCGCTTACAGCCAGAACAGAAAAATCACAGCAAAAAATCAGCAGCTACACCTATAATCAGTTCCCAGCCTCCTCACAGCCGGCAGGAGGTGAGAGACGTCACTACAGAGAAGCCTGAGCAAGAGACACCTGCTCCGTAACAACTGCTGCCGAACTGGAACTGTCAGTCACCTGTCATCTCGGCCGTACTTGGGCTGGTAACCTACACGTGGAACTCCTGTTCCTGTCCTGCCGCTAAGCCCTCGCATCATCCAATCCATCTAATCAGAGAGGCGGAGGGGAACTCCTCCTGATCCTTCTAGACAATCTGCTTCTCCATTACGGACATGTAAAGCAGTTACCTGGAAAACGAACGCCTACGCTCCTTTTGAATCTTTTTATATTCCATCAATTCCTTAGCAAAATCATTTGTAAACTCATCAAGTTTGGACTTTTTCTTTTCCCTGTTAAAATAAGTTTGACCTTTATTACAATTATAGTTTGACCTTCATTACAAAAAGACATCAAGAAACAAGACATGGCCAATATGAGAAAATGTATACTGCATGCAAATGCAAAAGGTGAACATCCTATTTAAGCAAAAACAGTTTAGAATGCCTGCAGGTTTTAGGGAAGATTTTAGAATTACATTTGTCTCGGTTTAGTTTTGCACGTTTACCATCTGCAGCGAAAAAGTACATTGGAAGAACACACTACGTCACTTTTGCTTACGTCAGATGCACGTTAGCGTAACTACAGTCCGACACGCTAGCCAAACACAAACCCGACGAACAGCGCAACTTCCTCGAGCCAAATACTTACTCCTCTTTAAGTCTCCGTTGCTCCCTGTAAAACTCCTCCCTCGATAAGGGAGGCGCCTGTGTTGTCGGGATGGCGTTTGAGTGAGCCGCCGGTACTGCTGTTGGTACCCAAGCTGAGGACATGCTGGCGGGAGCTGGGGGGTATCCGGGAGGGGGGACAGCGTACCCAGCGGACGGAGGCTGACCAGGTGGGAACTGAGGAGGGAACTGTGGCGGCGGCACCCCCGGCGGAAGAGGAAGGGCGTGGGGTGGAGGCGGATACAGGGGAGGTGGAGGCACAGGCACAAAGACTGGTGCTGATGCTGGTAGGTTCGGGGCCTGACTCCTTTGAGTACGTTCACCATGCAGGCGTCCTCGATTTGAGCTAAAGAAACCCAAGAACACGTGTCGCTGTCACGCTGCTCTGACTTTGGAGAGGAAAGCGGAGCGGGAGCGCGGCGGTGAGCACCTCCTGTTCTCAGCTTTAATGCTTCTTCCTGCTTTCTGTTCATCTGAGACTACGCTCGTTTTGTGATCCTCATCCTGCCTTCCACACCCCCACCCCAACAGGTCCCCCCCTAGGCTCAGCTTTGCGACTGTGACGGGGGCTGCCCCATCTCCCACGTGCCAAGCGCCCACTGCTCTCAGTACTTCACACTTCCGAGCGCGGAAGCGCTGCAGGGAGTAAACTCACCTGCTCTCAGACTGCTTCCGACTTCCACGTACGCTCCCCACCCGGCTGCCTCACGATGCTGGATTTGGCCTGTTCTCCCCCAACTGTTATTTCCCTGCTTGCCAAATCTGAGATTTTAGGAGGTCTGTGGGATGGGGCCTGCTTTCTTTTCTGACCTAATGCTGCGCTCCCGCGCGATCTATCGGTGACAAACGCATGCCAAGTGGAAGGACTACGGCGACGCTGCAATACTAGGTAACAGGGACGCCTCTCCCCAGGCGAGAGAAAGCGGCTTGGCTGTTGGAGACGGAGCCGAAGAAACGCAAAACTGCCACAAAACAACAGTGCTGACTCTCCCATGTTTTGCTCAATCGGTATCAACTCAGTTGTTAAAAAAAGAATGTTGGAGGCTGATTCCTACTGGGAAATCAGTTTCTCCAGCCCTATTCAGCCAGCAATCAAAGGGGTGGCTTTCCATCTGATCTTTTAATTATGTTTAATTTTTGTATGTAATTACCGTTTCCTCAAGAAATGTTCCTTTTTCCAAGTCCTCTTTTCAATTATGTCCTGCAGTTTTATTTTAAATAATCTTACTGCAAGCACAGATCCCCTCTGTTAGAGCTAATTCAAATTAAGCCAATCGAAAATTAATTACCACTTGTATTCTCCACACCTACCCATGCATATTTATTTTCTTACAAGTCAGCAGTGGTGTCAGTTATGCGTTACAGCCTAATTTAACAGGCTACAAGGAGTAATACAGTGAATTTCTGCGGAATACTCACAGTTCCCAGCCTGGTCTGCCACCTGCTGAGCGAATTGTACTGGCTCTCATGGGATGACCTTTACAAGTGGGGAGAGGAAAAAGGAAAAAAAACCCATGAAGTTTATCCAAAGATCATTTTTTGGGAGAAATTCTGAAGCTACAGTTGCTTACCAGTTGTGGGTATCGACTGTCCTTGAGGGCCCAGAAGACTTGGTAATGCTGGTTGTCTCAGCACAGGAACCTGATAGCCCTTACGAAGGAATGCAAACAGTTAGAAAGTGAGCTCTGCTAAAAGACAACAACCATTGCACATGCTGCACAGAATTTACCTTCTCTTCCAACAAACTGGTGATTGAGAGGGAGGAAGATTTAGAAAGTTCAGCGGCCGTCACGAGAGCAGCAGGAGGTATAATAGTATCAGCATCACTGCAACAGAAAAAGCCATTTTTTTAGTTATTCAAATGTGTTTTGAAGTGCTACGTGAAATACAAAGCTTAAGGTCAGAATGCTCACTACTGGAAATGAGAAAAATATTTAAATATAACCTTCGCCAGATTTAGCAACATGAGGTTGGCCAGTTCCAAAGGAAGCAGTGGAGTCAGTCTGGACCCCTGACCAGAGAGGAAGCCCACTGGAGTAGTGTTTTATTAAGCTAGATGCACATGAAAGGACTGGGGTACAGATAACCCACACACTGAACCTCAGTTCTGGCAGATGCGAGCGCTGAAATTCCATTGGGCAGTGTTTACATGCTAGTTCAGAGGCTGCCTTTGAGGTGCTTTTGTTGGCACTCAGCAGCACAGCCGAGCCCGACAGCCTTCTCCATCCAGGGCATGAAGCGGGAGGAGAGAAGCCCGAATCAAGAGCACAGATGTGTGATGTGTTTTCCTATCACTTCGCTGGGTGGCAAACAGACTTTCATGTTTTTAAATACTTCAAATGTACGGTGCTTCAACAGTCATTAGGCATCCCTGACTACGCTGCGTATGACTCGCAATCCCGGTGACAGAATACTGTGGAAAAAAATAATGAGGACACCTGTCAATCTTACCTATAATCATGCTTTTACAGCTCTCATGAGAATATTATTTCCTCAGTGCTAAAGAGACACTGCTGTACTCAAGAAGGTTTGACATAACTAAGCGGTTACTTTAGGAATTGCTAGCCACTTAAAATCAAAGGGCTGCCAGGGGGAAAAAAAGTTCCTCTTCCAGGGTAAACCTGTGCTGAATGACTGCTGGGGGAACCAAACAAGAAATGCTTGGGAAAAAATGCTTGCCTGAGGCACACTTCCCACTTATCAAAGTGTCCTCATTCAGACAGGGACCAAACCAGACCTTCCACAATTACCTGAATGGTCACTGGTGATCCACAGACCACGACAGAGAAGCTCAAGAAGAATATAACTGTCTGGTGTCTTTTACATTCACACTGATCCACAGATGTACTTACCGAAAAGGTCCGTCCGGCTTTTCACCACGGAGAGACAGGGACACTGCTGGAGGGAGATCAGAGACCACAACAGAAGACGGTTTCATGGGCAGCCCTGCTGCCACAGACGGACCAGGGCCCAGCGATGACAAAGCAGAGCGGGAAGCCAGGGAAGCTAACGGAATCATTAGTGGATCCTGCTGTCTGGACATTGCTGGCCGGAGCAGAGGCTGCAGGTTGCGTGTTATGGTCTGTCTCATCAGCGGTGGCGGAGGCGGGGGTGGCGGCGGTGGCGGCTGCTGCTGCTGCTGCTGTTGCTGCTGCTGAATCTTTCGGAGCCTTTTTGTGTACCCAGTTTCATTTTTGAAGTTGTTCACAGCCTAGAGTCAGGAAAGAGTTACCAACAGGTAAGTCAAAACTTCAGTAGGTGTACAAAAGCCTTCACAGAGTAAATTCACTTGTGCATTCCTGTAAATGCTATCAATTCTAGAATAAATCAACACTGATGGATGAACACGTCACATTGAAGCCCGACACTAATGACTGGGAACTCCGTATCAGCAGGCTGAACTCCTTCCGTGTTCACACCAAACCGCCAAGCGAGGCAAGTACGTTAAACACGGGTGACCTGAATCTGCCAGGCTGCCTCTACAGACTTCTAAGCTTCTGAAACAATAGTTGATGTATGTGAAAGGTCAATACGGCCTTATTCAATTCAGCCTTGCTAAAGGAGATGTAAACTAGTATTTTCTTCCTTTCAGCTTGTCACAAATAGACTTTTATTACAGTTTACGTAGAAGTCATCCTGTTACCTGGCGCAGGAACTTGTTGGCAATTAAAGCATCAGGAGAAACATCTGTTTGATGACACGTCGGGCATGTATGATCATCAGATTCCAATAATGCTGTTCTAATACCTGTGAATAATTAGAATAATTACAATAGCTTTTAGCCAAACTAGAGAATTGAATGGGGTTCTAATCAATTACAGAAGCATGTATATAACTGACGGGCGAATACGGTTTCGAATTGAGAGCATAAAGCTATAAATGTTCAACAGTGTAAAAACATTCTAGCATGCAGCAGTTAACTACAGTTTTGATATCTCACTGCTAGAGGATGCAGAGCAGGCTGTGTCTTGCTCCAACTAGTCTTTTTTTGCACTACCCAGTACAGTGAGAACTCACCAACCTTAAGGTTAATGAATAAAAAACATTTCAAAAAGTCATTAGGTTTTAATTCTGAAGGTTTTAACCAACTCTCCCACAGAGAAGAATGTGGGTAAAATGCCTAACTCTCTGCTGGTTGCAGAGGGCAGCAAATCAGAGCTGGATGTGTACTTCTGAACAAGAAGGGCTGTTGACAAACGAAATGCATTCGGTACCTAATACCGTAACCACCAGCACAATTACACACTGTTCTTGCACTCATCCTTCCTTACATAAAGACCTTGAACTAGATCGGGAACAGGGGAAAAAACCTCTCCACCCATTTTTTTTCCTTTATATGGTACTGGCCCTTTCCTGTTCAGGGTATACTTAAGGATGACATGGAACCGCTAACACCGATTTCGTCCTCTCGTATTTCTGCTTTCAGAGACGACCTGACATTTGGAATGAACAAACATGGGACTAACACTCACATTCATCACAGTAACTGTTTCCGCAGCATGGGATAACCACCGCGTCGGTCATTATATCTTTACAAATCAGACACAGTAACTCATCTGGAATAGGATCATCTTCTTCTGAGGAAGAGGACGGCTCCTCTGGTAGGAAGGGAGGCTTTTCCTTCTTTCCTATAGCGTAAGCTTCCCTGGAGGTGGGTGGGGAAGGAAGAAGAAAAACATTTAAGATCGGGGTAAGGGAAAACTTGTCCAAGCTTTTGATTTTATCATAGAAAGTCAAAAGATGGAATTCTTCTCACCCCACACGAGCCTTTTAAAATACAGGCATTTAGTTTAAACTACTTTCCTACAGCCACAACTCTAGAAGAGGGAAGGGGGAACAGTTTTGCTTCTGCAGAACTCTCCCATTCACTGGATCACCTACAAAACCAGCTCAGACTAGAAAATTTTTTTTTTTTTGACAACTAGAAGTCAGACAAAATGAATCCCACCTCTCCTTTGCCAGAGGGCAAGTGGAAACTGCAGGCTCAGGATAAAGCTCATCTTCAAGAATGACATTTTATAACTGGAAGAAGTCTATGTTACAGCTTCTACAAAACGAGACCCATGAAGTGCTACCGAGTGCATTTTAGAACAGCCGCTGTCCTCAGCACGCAGCAGCATCTTCTCAGTTTATAGCAACAGGAAAACTTCAGCCTGCTGCACACATGAGATCTGACAATAGTCAGAGGGGGAGGAAATCTCAGTCCAACAGTTACTTGTTAAATTTTGCAAGAAGCCTTTGAAAGACAAAGTGGAAGCAAAAGGAGCTTTCCAAGAGCCTGACTCCAACTGTAAACGCTATGGGAAGTGCAGGCTCCCAGCATGCCCTAGGTTTAACCAACTTCCAGTGGCACAAGCAACGCGACCACCCTATTTCAGTACCAGCAAGCACCCCAGATTTCAAGGTGAAGATACACCGACAATGCTTCCCCCCAGACGTTGCCCGACTTGGCTGCAGCGTCACTCAGGCAGTTACGCACGTTGGCCCTCGTTCCCTTTTTTGGGCAGTCTGATCAATTCCACACTTACGCGTCAATCGTTGGTATTGCATATTTTCCAGTGTTTGTCAGCATAGCACCTTTTGTATTTGGGTCTTTCACCTCCATCATGAAACTTCGTGGAATTCCTGTGCTTTTTTTAATTCTAGGAACGGACTCAAAATTTTTGTCCTGTTAAGAAAAGAAATGCAGACATGTCTCATCTGAAGACCCACATGTGACATGACATTTCAGTGATTTTAAGCAGCAAACACCTTTAATCCTCTCCCTTTACCCAGCATAAGGGTTGCTCAACACAAACATCGCCAGGATGTTCCAAAGGCTTGAGCAGTGTTTTGAACTCAATCGATGTTCTTTGCCTTAACTTCGGGTTCCTCAAGGATGAAATGCCCCTTTTTTCACCATCTGATCCGAGGAGACACAAACCCATTCCCCCTCCAGAGCACAATTCAGAATGAGAGCTTAATTCCGGGCTCCAAATCGGTCGCTGGAGAAACTTACAGTCACCACCTAAGCACGAAGGCTGAACTCACACCTTGAGCGCCTATGTTCAGTGACTAATGCTGAACGTGTGAACAGACTGGTGCAATTAAACATGCAAATACTCAATAGGTGGGGTCAACAGAAACACCTTTGCATAGGAAATACTAAAAACTGTAAACTAGCATTCAAGAGTTAAAAATTCCTAATACCACTGAGGCATATCAAATATACACTAAAGTTCCCAGAGGAAAATCTATGGCAGTGTTTAGTATCCATGCCTTAGAAAACCAGAAAGTTTTACATGTGTAATTCCAGGTTTTCCTTGAACTCTGAAGGGCTTTGCAACACTGCCGTCACCTCTGGACTTCACCCCAAGAGAAACAATTGTATTTACTAACCCCAGAAGCCCCCCCAGTCTTACCCCATTTGTTGGGCAGTTCTTGATATAGTGGCCAGGTTTCCCGCATCGAAAGCACGTGTATGACGGTGGAGGTGGACCCAAGGGCTTCTTCATGTAGCTACAAGTTTTGAGGGGAAAAAAGGAAAAAGGTATGCATCTGTCTCTCGTTACACAAACATCTCCACAATTTTTCCATCATCTTCAAAGAACAGATTTGACATTATGGACACTTACTTGATTGGATCATATTCATGGCCAGACTGCGTCATCATAGCTTTTATTTTATCTTCCTCGGAAGCATTCGCTTCAGCCAGATTGGCAGTCTGTTTAACAGGCAATTATTTGACACACACATTAGAAACACATTTAAGCCCACACAGCCAAAGACAACACCACTCATCCAATCCTGTAAAGAGCAGCACAGCACTAGCTGAGGCTGCATGACAACAGCTGCTTATATAAAACATATTTGTCCTGAAGATGTTCTGGGGAGTCCTTACGCCATTACATGATGTTTCTGTGCCCGCTAACCTACTTGAAAAGAGCACTCTTGGGCACTCAAAACCTTAGGCTCTGTTTGTACCTTACATAAAGACTTGTGTAACCAATCCAATTTTCTTCAAAGTGGGCTGAAGCTATGTGGAGGAAAAAAAATTAAAAAAAAAAATTCACACTATCCAGTACTTTTGAACTGCTTTTTGAGCTCCAGACTATTTGAAGGAGAAGATACCCACTATACGCTGAGAAACATGTATGCAAGTACCACTATTTACATTTTGCAGCATTAAAAGGACACACAGCTGAAGAGTCAGTTGGTCCTGCATGCCGAAATTCATCCTCTGATGCCGGAGCATTAAAAGGCATCAAGCTTCTCGTAACCCCTCAGAAAGGCGGAAGATTCTTTTCAGGAGAAATTTGACCGTCACGTGCTGCAGCAGCCCAAACTGCACGTTCCCCCTCCAGATCACATCAAATGCTTTAACTACAGAAGGCAAACCCTGCAGTTTTTTCCAGCTGACTGTGTCCTTTTAACACCCAAACTGTAACGCAAACCTCATGCAGAACTAGATCTTCAAATTACTGAAGCCAGCTGATTTTTTAAGTAGCATGTGTTCAATCGTTTTTACTTCACACTAGTCCAGATACAAGCAGGGTCTAAGGGAGTGACTGTGAACGATTTGGACCTTCAAGCACCTATCATTCCAATCAACCACTCGTATTTTTGGCTTTATATGCATTCATTCACAAAAGCAACCAACTAGTTTCAACATTTTATTAAATGGTTGTTTCATGTACACAGGTTTTTCTCGACAGTAACACAATCCAGACCGACAGCTATGAAATCATTTCCATTAACATTTACAGAATACTTTACAGATACTTGACTAATTTGTTTGAACCCAAACGGTTTACAAAACACAGCCAAAACCCATAAAACATTAGTAGGAATAGACCAAAAGTCAAATATGGCATTTAATACATCATAATAAGAAACCAGGAAACTGTTAATACATTGCCTCCATGCTAAGCCAGTCGGCACTGAAGAGGTTAGAGTAAGTAACAGTTTTGAGCTGCTTTAGGTTGCTGTGTTTTTCTGAAGTACTTAAATTTTCTCGAAAGCTTCAGTGTGTACACCACTTGGACAGCTCTTCACATTTTAGCGTGAAACTTTACGAGTTTACAGAACCAAGGACACCTTTAGGGACAGCACTAATGGAGCCCAATTTCTTTGGGTGGCTACCTTCCAAACTGATTGGGGTTTTCTGCCAAACATACACAGTTTAACTTCTGCAGTGAGAGAGGGAAGAAGTCACCAGTGGGAAGAGATTTCTCTTTCTTGGAAACGAAGTCCAGCCTTTACGGTCAGAAGAACTACCTACTCTGCATTAGGCCCGGCCTGCCTTCTCTCATCCCTGTGGCTTTAAAGCCCAGTAACTGAATCGGTCAGCACTACGCCTGTTCACAAGTGCCATCACTAGTGCTTTCCCAGACAGATACACATTGTTGAGCAGAAAACACAAGCAATTCCAGAGCAAAACACGGCATCACAACAGTCTCAGAAGGTCACATCTGCCAATATGCCACACATACACATTGGTATATTCCTATAACAACTAGGTACATTTACACAATTTACACAGTCTGCGTTCAAACAAATTAGATCATGTTGTCCGCTGTATAGACTACAACTTATAAACTGTGCAACATTCAAAGAATGGTTCTGTAACTATGAAGACTAAAAAATATTAACAAGAGCCATGCAATTGTCCATGTTACAGCAATGCTTCTATTTTGGCTGTTGCAACCCCCCTGAAACGTCCGTAACTTACAGCCAATTAAATTCTTCTGTATATGGTATTAGTTTCCAAGGCAAAATTAACGAAACGTATTTAAAAAAAATGGTAAACAGCTTCTGAAGAGCTTCTTCTTTGTGTCTTGAAGATGAGTAATACTGCAACATTATGTTGAGGCTGATAAGGTACTCCCCTTCTATCTTCCCAAACTGGGAACTACTCTTTACAGGATAGTATCAAAATATACACACATTTTAAAGTTAAAATAAATACTTTAAGTTATTAAAGATTAAAGTTTTGTTCAAATTACAACAGTTATCCAGCTATAGGTCACAGTATAAGATTTAAAAATACAAAGCAAACATTTTAAGTATTTGACAAGAATATATATATACCTTAGTAAGCTGGGCCAGAGAAATAGATGCAGAAGAGTCATCAATCTGTTCACAAAAAATTAAACACATATTCAAGTTCTACAATCAAAACATTGCAACAGTTAACCTCTACTACAGTCTGAAAGTCTACACTATATCCTGAGTGTCACCAAGAGAGGCATTTCCAACCCAGTGTGATTTGTACTGGTTCAAAGCAAAGTCCACACCTATGACAGCTTAATGAGCCCATGTGCTTAATGAGAAGCAACTGAAATAACCAAACCCGCCTGAGATCACTTACTGCTCCAGAATCTCCCCTTGACTCTTGCTCACAACTGCTTAAAAATCACAGGGGCAAGGAAGCTGTCAATTTGCAGCTAAAAAGGGTTTTAAAAAATAAGTTTATTTGAGAAGGACACAGCACTACAAAAAACTTATTTTCAGTGTAGTTTGTAAATTAACCAGTTAGTGTCTCACTGTTTACAAACGCACATGGTTAATTGTGCTTTTCTGAATACAGCTGCTGCCTGCCAAAATACAGCATGGGCATATCAGCCCTCAAACACAGCTCTGCCCCTCCTGTCACTATGGTGACAAACGCCTAACCCGCCATACCCCACAAAGCCCAGCCAAAACACCAACCCACACCAGCAGCCACAAAAGTCACCCACCACTTTGGCTAGAAAAAACCCAAACTGCCCAAATTATTGCCATAAAGATGTTTACCATGACACAGAAACCTATAAAAACTGAGAAAACTGACTTCTTGTATTTTCTTGGCCCACAGGCCATACTACCCTAATTAGCTGGGGAAATGTGAGAGTTCAGTATCATCTATCAGACCAAACCAAATTTTTAATGATGATGAAAACACGGATTCAGAGCACAATCCCGTATTTTTTCTCCACTGCACCCAACCATGGTCCTCCCTCCCAGCTCCCTACAGGAAGAGCTTGCAGGAATGAAGTCCTTAGGCCACCAGTTAGCAACAGCCTGTAGTATTAATTGAGAACTAACACTGAGGTGCAGTTTTTCCACAAGTAAAAAGGGTAACTCATCTTGTTCCTTTTGAATTACACTATGCCACAAGCAGTAGTTAAGCTCACGCTAGTACAACATTACCAGAAAGACACTCAAACCACTGCTTACTATGTCTTAAAGTTGTTAGAAAACATAGAATAAAATCTCAAGTGTAAAAAGTTGATCAAAAGAGAGATTAAAACCCCTCCCTGGAAGAGCTCTTGTCCTTCATTACCCTGTGTAGTGTAAGAATTCTGGGGAGTAGTTTTAGCAGACTCTGGAGAAAAAAAACCCATCTGGATGCAGAAGACACCTCACTCCAGTTAATCATTCATTTTCTGTACGTTTAGGAAAGCACATACAACGTTACTGTATAACTAACTAAGAAGTTCTTGAAAATGTGCCTTTGGAGAGGAACCCCCAGATCTGGAAAAACAGACCTTTCTATTCCAAATCCTGCCAGGAGATTCAACTTTCCTTCTGTTCAGAACATTCTGTACCTGGTTACGTTAAAAAAGAAGTCTGATCAAGTGTATCTGAAGCTTCAGGCTCCCTATGCCACCCTTTTTATGTGTGGAAAAACAGGCCTATGTTCTCTCGCAGGAGGCACAACCATTATCATTTTGTGTTCCTTCAGAAGCAAACAAGAAAAGAGGAAAACTCTGCTGGGGTCTAGCAATAAACACCCTAGGACTGACCCATAACTGAAACAGCTGTTCTTGTATTTTTCTAAGAGGCAGTTGTTATACAGCCTGCACACAACAGTAACTTCCTTAGGGAGGCGCTAAGACTCCTTTTCTGCCAACAGTTAATCGAGAGCAGCAAGTAGAAATGAGTGTACCATTTAGTACGTGTGCCCAACGGCCATCTTCCAGTGAGCTTACATTCTTGCAGCTTTTGGTTTTTCTTTTAAATTTCTACTGAAGTATTTCCTGCCAGCCCCTTCAATCAGTCAAGTAGAAACAACATCTCCATGAAACCTGAAAACATCCCTAAGATAATACTGTGGAATTGGAAAAAACCCACCACCAAAACACAAACCCAAAACCCCAGAATCAGCCCATGTATTAACTCCCATTTCATATCAGACTAAACAGAAACTAACACAAAGCAAGTAGGAAAGGGGACAGAAAATAGGAGGAAATGGCTAGTCTCAGTGCTAGAGCGCATCTACAGGGGTTTCCTAAAAGCCGAGAGCTTGGCTAAACTAACAATTCAGCCAGGAAGGATCATGGTTGTGCCTGACGGCGCTGAAACAATGGGCATTTCTGCAGTCCCTAAGGACAACTGCCAACTACAGATCCTTGCCGTTACTCAGCTAGTAATACTCAACAAAAATGAAGCCACATTTTTGATTTGGCTGTACTAACAGTAGGACAACTGGCAAGCCTACTACACTAAGATCCTGGTTCTGCTCCAAAATGCATACAGGAATACGTGTATGTAAAAAAAAAAACCAAACCACCCTACACTTAGTCTACTAAGGCCAGATTTAGCTTTAAGAACAAAGCTAATTGTGTCTCCAGCACTAGAAGCACCTGAGGCTGACGTGCTCTACAGGGAGAGGACTTGTAAAGCGAGGTGCAAGGCTTCCACCCACCCTATGGCTACCCACAACCCAAATCAGGCACAGGCAGAGCAAACGAGAAGGGAGTATTTTTGCTTTGTCTTTCATTTACTTTACTTAGTTCTAACTAATGCTAGGCCTTTCCCCCCTCCACTCCAGGATTTTTCTTCAAGACATCTATGTTAGCTTATGGTAAGGTGCTACTGAGAAATGTAATAGAGACATGCCAGGGAACACAGGAGGCTAAAAGAATGTTAACTTTATTTATGAACATGTGATTTGTGTTTATACACATGCTAGTAAACAAAAAGAAAAATAACTGTTTGCAAGAAATAAAAACCCATCTGAAATAGATCAGATACTATCAGCGTGGTTTACATCAATGCATTACATTAACTACTAGGGTCACTGGGCCAGTTCCACTAACAGCTTACTGTTAGCAAACTCACAATGAGAGGCATTCACGTCCAAAAAGGAGTTCAAACCAATCAGTGATAGAATTACAGATGTCAGATTTGGACTTAGTGTTTTTAGACCTGCATACAAGAACTTTTCACATTTAAGTTGATTGTATACCATTCCACGAGAACCAAGGGTTGCATTCCTCACAGAACACAGACCCAGAGTTCATTAATTTCTAGATTGTTACACTAAGCACTTGTCAAGTGATCAGATCCAATGATCCAGGGTTAGTGTAATGCCTCACACCATTCTAGTGAAGAAAAAGCAGTTATACTTAAAATAAAGATGAAAAATTAAAAAAAAGCACCAAATAGTAATTTTTATACTAAAAGGACTACTTTGAAATGCGCAGTTACACACAATATTCAACCCAAATGGCAAATCGAGAGCTAAAGAAAAACACTGCCCCTTTGCCAAAGGTAAATTCAAGTGGTGGTATACTAAAGAAAGGCTTAACTTCTGGGGAATGAGCTCCAAAGCATCCACCCCTGAAGTCACCCAGATCCAAAAATGTACCGCAGGCAGAAGTTCAGAAAAATGACAGGGTTTTTACCCACAGACACACCAGGCTCTAACCTTGTGCCAAAATTTGTACACTGGGTTTTAGGCATTTTTGTCTGCAGACAAACTATTGAACTAAACTACTTCATCAGATAAAGTGGAAAGATCAAATACAGAACTTTAGAATAGCACTTCATGTAGCAAGGATATTTAAATTCACGGCAATCTATTAGAGACATTTATGTACTCAGAGGGGCCCAAACAATATCACTTCAGTTACACAGTTTTAGGAACAAATACCCAAGTATTTAAGGACACGAAAAGGAATCATTTAGCTGCACAGAACTGTCCTCAGGATGTATGGGATATGCTGGTTTTGGTATTTGTTTGAACCCCCAAGTCAAGAGTAAGAAACAGTACCAAGTGTAACAATAACGGTTTCTCCGTGGTTTTTGATAACACTTTCAAAAACCATTAGGCAAAAAAAGTATTTAAAAACAAAAGCTAAGTGATACAATGTGAAAATGGCAAAAAATACACTCCAAACAATTTTTATTGCAAGAAACAAAAAGCACACAACAACCTATACAAACATACATATTACTAGCTATAGACAGACAGATGTAGAACATGGCACCATGTTCAGGTGTGCAAATCTCGAGCCTACGCGAGCTAAGAACGCTCATACATTGTCTGTACAACACAGCGTCATACAGGAAATAGTCTAGCAGATTCCGTACGAAATACAACGCATTGCTAGGCACAAATACCGATAGTCACAGCAGCACTGTGCAAATGATGGCATTACTCAGTTTTTACTATGCTGAATCAAATACATTGTATTTACAACAGGCTATATTTTACGGGAAAATATATTAAGTAAATGCTTGCAAAATTAATAAAAGGCTACATTGTTTAGAATTAAGTGCAGTGTGTAGAAAAAAGTGTGAGATTGTGTTTTTACATACTGCTTTTGATGTTCCACTCACTGGCTCAGTTCGACTTCTAGAAGAGGAAATAAAGGTGATCAGAATTTAAAATAAAGCAATGAAAACCGCTTATAAAACCTGAACATCAAAACATTATGATCTGAGAGTCTTGTGAAAGTGGACATTTACCCATATACATAAACTGTTCTCTCCTGGTACATTCAGTGCAACTAAAGACAAACCCCCAAACCCACGTGTCCACTTTGTCCCGGATTACTCAGACTCAGTGCAAGAAGTCGTCCTCAGCTATTTTGTCTCTATGCAAGTACCAAAAGTACTAAGTCTGTACTACAGTTTTGCATTCTTAAAAAAAAAAATCAACCATTTCCGTACAAAGGTAGCTTTAGCCAATCCGTACATCCCCACTACTACACGTGGGCACCACACACAGCAGTACTTTACTTTCTAAGGAGGAACAGGGATAGTCTAGACACTTTGAAGTGCAAGTTTACTCAAGCAAAAAAAAATTCAGTCATCTGAAATGATGATCAGCTATCAGAAATAACAGAAACATTAGCAGCATAGCCTTTGGAACAGTGTTTCTTCGTGGAAGCCCAAGCACTGTGTTTAGGTATCTACTATACTTATTCATAAAAGTGCCAAAATACAACGTGTTACA